AGAGTCAAAGAAACTGTTTAGTTAAAAACTTCGTTGAGGATTCTTGTGTCAAATAATACACAGATTTTTTGTGTGTGTGTTTCTGGTGGTCTCAAAGACCAGTGGATGCTATTTATACAGTACAAGTTTCCCTTGCTTTATGCTGTACATGCGTTCTTGGAAAATGGCGCAAAACTCAAATTCGTATAAAGGGAACACACTTTACAATGCAACAAATATGGATACGTTCCAAGACCTCAACTGTGCTGACCCCCAGATCCATTTCTACCACTTTAAAAGACAAGTTTGGTACTCACCAACAGCAGACAGTACACAGAAGCACAGGGTGGTGGTGAACATTACCATAATGGGGATGGCAACTACAGAAACATGTGTCACAGACAACGAGTGAGGAGCACAGATTCACACACGAGACTATATTTTGGTGCACATCACTCCCACAATGCACCACACAAAGCAGCTGACTGCATGCTTCCACCAAACCAAGCACATACGAGTAAATTTACCTCGCATATAATTAATTTTTTATATAAAAAGGGTCATCGCATAAGAGCGAATTTGCACATACAGAACCCGCATATAGTGACAGAAACCTGTATCTTACACTATATCCAGCAATTAAGATGAAACTACTCCAGCTACACTGTCTGCCTCCATAGGTCTCATATGCTGCTTAGAAAACAACACGGTACAGCACTACTGTGTAATATCTGCACACCACCTTTTTTATTGCTGCCACCTATGCTAGTAGTGCACAAGGTAAAGCAGGTTGGAAAGTTTTCAACTAGCAATGCTATTAAAGAATATATAAATCTATTACTGGGCAAGGAAACAGTACCCCAGTCTTTATAAACTGAATTAGGAATGAATGCGTGTTCACTTATTCCTACCCCCAATCATTAGTGGGACAGGGCACTGGTCAACCAGTTCTTGGAAGCCAGCTTTAACCCGTTACCTGATCAGCACATGTAAAAGGAAGAATCTTCAGCAAAACAAGCCTCATCATTTCCTGACAGAACTCATTTCAAAATGGCCAAAGCAGTTTCTTTGGTGGACCACAAAAATTTTAGGATAAATTCCTAAAAGATATTGGAGGAACTCAGCTTTCAAAAGTAATACATTGTACTATCAATTCTATACCACACAGAGGAATTTAAGATGAAACCATACACTCTGGTAGGACATTAGTGTTTACTCGGTTTACATCCTTGGCACTCTCCCCTATCCCAATCCCCCCACAGTGATCCTCAATGATCCTTGGTCACTCCAAGGGACTGCCTGCCATACCAGCTGATGTCAAATGGTAGATAAACATTGTAGACTCCAGGCTTCTAGAAACAGTAGTAGTCACAAATGACTGTGTAAAGTCAAAAATTAACTTTGCACTGCTATTTAATAGATGAATGGTGTTTCTGTAGGATTTTCAACCACAAATGCAACTCTGAACTAAAAAGGCAGTATTATTATTTGTATTAGAAATCTCGTAACACAATTACTTGGGTTATTTAATTTAGTTCTGAAAATACTTCTAAGTTTCATTTCATATATAGCTGGATTACTTCCAAGTTACTCTCTTTTCCTGATAATACACTATCAATTACTAAAAGAAAAAAAAATCCGGTATTTTCTTATCAGGGCATATATAAACTAAATGCACAAAAAAGCTACATTAAGAGAACATTGAGGTTGAAAAGTCAAATACCCAATAAGTCAGGAAAATATCAGAATTCAGACTGCTCAGCAACCTTCATTCCGTTCCATTATACATATACATTGTGATACTGTCTTTAATTATGTAAATACCTACCATCTTTGCCACAAAACTCTTGCCTCATACAATGCACAGAAAGCAAAAATCTCACTGAATGGATACCACACCTCAGGAAAGATGTAGACAAATTCAAGAGAGCAAAGGAGAACATGTGGGTACTAAATCATGTCAAAGGACAGGTTACCATAAATTTTTGTAGTATGGACTGAACAACACATTTGTCTCTACGCACATTTTGGAATCAGATTAACTGTTTTGGATCTAAAGTTTTCCAAAAATATTTAGTTTGAGATACCCAGAATGTAGAGATTAAGCAAAAATGGTTAGTCCAGCAAAGTAACAACTGAAAACCTGATCCTATAATAGGAAGAGTAAGGCAACCTTAATGATAGGCACTGCTACCATCTCCACCTTAATAGCAAATAAAAAATTATCATACTGGTCTGATTAGTTCAAATTTTTCCCCCTCTAAAAGGATCACAACCCCCCCCCCCA